ATAGGTTCCTTTCACAGCTCTCAAAGTGCATACAGTGCTGTGAAGACACATACATCTCTTCTGCACATTTTACCTACAGGTTTGTATTAACATAATGTTGCAATACTAATACCCAGCACTTACTATATTGTACTGTGTATTTGCAAAACACTTCATAAATATTAACTAATAAATCCTGCTAAAAAGAAGGCTTAGTTATTTTCATTTTAACTGCAGAAAGAAGGAAACGTTCACTGGTTTCTTTCCTGTGGTCTGTTATGTGCTACTATAAGGAATAAACACAGGGTTGCTACACCCATACAGTTGCTATGGAGGCTGCATTTTTAATTTATGAGATCAGTTTGATAGTTTAGAGAATGATCCCAAAAGGATTGCTCCAATCCTTACTCATCAACAGTGCCCCTGAAGTCAGTGGGGTTGTGTGTGTAAGGCAAGCAGGAGTGGCTCTTTAAAGTAAAAACTTGCCTCTCACGGTCTAAGTGTGAAAGGCATTAGTACAGTTGACTTGTTGAAGTAGGAAAGGGAGACTGGGGAACAGGAATTCCTGGTTTTTAATGCAGCTCCCATAGATTCATAGAGTTTAAGACCAGGAGGAATTATTAGATCATGATCTAGCAGGGCTGTCTATGGGTGAGTAGTGGGTGAGGGGAGAGCAACAGGGACAGCTGCACTGGGGCCGGGCAATTTAAAAAAGGCCCAGGCATGGCTGACAGGAAGGGCTGGGGCCGTGGGAGGGCTGGGCCACGGCATGGCAGCCTGGCTCTCTGACCGCCCAGGAAGGATCAGGTTGTGGCATGGCTGCCCCCAGCCTCCGGCAAGGGAAGGATGGAGCCATGCCACCTGCTGGGATGGGGGAACATGAAGGGGCCTAGAGGATAAGAGAACTGTCTGGCCTGAAACAACCCCCACATCCCCAAATCCTCTGTGAAGGATCATCTAAGACATGAGGTTGCATTGATGGTTTTGGGCAGCTTGTGTGAAGGTGAAGGGCTCAATAAATCCACTGATATCTTGTAAGTTTGTACAGGAATATGGTGGGAGAGCCATTCACGCCCATTAGACAGAACCAGTTGCTCCCTCCATGTGCTGTTCTTGCAGAGTGACGGTGTGACAGGTTGTTGTACTCTACGGTACAACAACACCTCTTGGTGGTTATGGGAAAGAGCTTGGTCAGTCCAACCCTCCTTGTAGCAATTCCACCCTGTCGGTATCTCCGGTGCAGCCTTTTTCTCAGAACCAGCGCAGCCTCCTTATGACTCAACACTGCAGTTAGGCCACTGCTGTGGTTTCCGGGGAGAGGGCAGGAAGCGTGCTCCCAGGCAGTCTTCCGCTTTACTGTCTCACACTGCCACTTCCACAGTGGCTGGCAGAGAAACCCGGGCACATCCTCTCCTCCAGGCTCTGGCTCACGGACCCTCTACGCAGCAGCCAAGGTTTGTTTCCTGTTTTCTCCCAAGCCACTTCCATACCATCTGGCCAGGGTGGCGGGTATGTTAGGCCTTCCCAAACCGCCAGCCTGGCCCCACCCATACTCCGCCCCCAGAACGCCTGCTGTAGCATACTGGAGGCGGAGTGCTGCTGCCCCTGAGTGCCCACCCTCCCTGTGCTCCAGGGCTAGGGAGGGGCTGCTTGCCACTCCATCTCCCTGTGGTGCTGGAAGGTGGGCTTGTCTCCTGTGGGGGCAGGGCCTGGGCAGAAGGGGCAGGGCCAAAGGTTTGCTTCCCCCAGCCCTACCTTTACCCACCACCCATGCTTCTGGCCCACCCCATTCTCTCCTCCCAAGAAGTAGCTTTAGGCAACTCATCTCTATACCCTCTACCCCCCGGCCATACCTCCCTTCTGCCAGGAAGTGGCTGCAGACTTCTCCCTGTTGCCCCTTCTACATCCAATTTCCTGTCTTTTATAGAAGCCCCACCTGTCCCCCACAGGTAAGCTAATTAGCTGTCTCCTACCTAAAACTCCCCAGGCCTAATTCAGCTTTTGGAAGTGCAGAATGGGGAGCACACCCCACTACAGATGGGGTTTGGAGCAATACATGGGCATGAGCATCCTTGACTATCATCCCATTTCCATCTCGCTTAACATAGAGTGTCGGGATTTGGTTTGGTCTTCAATGATTAGGACCCATCACACACTAGTGACATGTACTGCACCCAGTGTGACATCATCAGAAAGACCCAAAATATGTGCCTTTGACCTGGCTTCCCAATCCGACTCAGGGAGATGGAATTTGTCAGATGTTTGCATAGTCACATGCTGATCTAGGATTGGTAACAGACCTTTTGTCCTCGGCTTAAAAGCATGAAAGAGTAGAATGAGCTGTTTTCATCTAGTTAAGCCCTTGGGGTGAAAGACCTCTCTTACACATCTGCAGGGCTCGACAAATCAGTGTATCTACTCACCCATGGTGAGTAGTTTTCAGCCGGTCGCCCTGTTCACCGGCGGCGCGCGAATGCACAATGCGGGTCTGGCACATGCGTGGTGCAGGGCTGGGGCATGGATTTCACCATGGTTTGTCATCCCCTGCACATCTGTAATACCCTACGCACGCTTATGGCATCATATATATAGTAGCCCAGTGTCTGAGAGTCTGTAACGCCGAAATGCTGGCTGTTCCCTCTGGGGGGCGCTGTTGCCTGAAATGTTGGCTGTTCCCTCTGGGTGGCCCGTGCTGCATGGGGAGTGCGGGGCCCAAATGGCCGCTTGTGCCACTTGCTCCCCTGCGGCGGCCCAGCTGAGCGGCGCAGAAGTCAGCCAAGTGCCACGATGGGAGGCGAAGGGGGGCGGGGCAGTGATGTGCGGCGTGACAGCGGCTCCAGGCCCCGCCCCCTGGCCGTGAACATCATCGCCCCGCCCGCGAAGGAGGGCGGGGCAGTGATGTACAAGGCCAGGGGGTGGGACCTGGAGCCTCTGTCATGCCCTTCACCTCCCGTCCCCTGGCTGTGTACATCACCGCCCCGCTCCCCTTCGCCTCCCGCCGTGGCGCTCGGCTGACTTCTGCGCTGTTCAGCCAGGCCGCCGCGTGGGAGCAAGCGGCGCAGCAACCGTTTGGGCTCCGCCCCCCCCATGCAGCACAGGGAGTGCGGAGCACAAATCGCCATTTGGGCTCCGCGGTCCCCCGAGTGAGAGGCAGGAGGGGGAGGAGAAGTGAAAGAGAGAAACGGAGAGAGAGGCAGGAGGGGGAGGAGAGCTGAGAGAGAGAGGGGGGGGAAGTAGGAGGAGGGGACGGAGGCTCAGGAGAGAAGACTGATGTGGAGGAGAGACCTGAAAATCCCGTCTTATGATGGGCTAATTGGCTAGTTGATAAATAATAAGATAACATCTTCCAACTTTATTTATTGTTAGCAGCTCCTGCGTTATGAGTATGCACTTGCTGCAGCTACACTGGTGTGACTACATCAGTGGCTAAAACTTCAATGTAGAAAATGCTTTAGATGCAGCCAGGCATAGGAAATCCCTGGATCCCTGCAGCTGCATAAAAGAGGCAATAAATGATACAGGGACACAGAAACCCCATGTTTTCTTCACAGCTCTTCTAGCTATGATGCAGTTTCTCCTAGACAGTCTCATACTGGGAATTAGGTGCACATTTTTCTCAGAGAAAGGTAACTCACCATTGGAACAACTTACTTGTGGGTGTGGTGGATTTTCCTTCCCTTGAAGACTTAATAGCAAGCCTAGCTATAAGACTAGAGATCTTTCTAGGAGAGATACTTTAGCTCAACCAGAAGTTACAGGACTCAACCCAAGAATCACGGGGAGAACTTTTATGGCCTGACTTATACAGAAGGTCAGGCTAGGTGATCAGAATGGTGCCTTCTGGCCTTAACTTCTTTGCTTGATTTATGAAGCTATGAATCTTTGCTGCAGATAATACTAAGGATGTTAAATATGGGTTAATTGACTAGTTGAGTAGTTGATGGAATTTCCATCAACTAGTCAATAGGCACTTCCGCATTCCTCCTTTGAAATGTTTCAAAAGAGGAATGCGGAACTCCATGTGCAACCCCCACAGGGCCAGCAGGAAGTTCTGCTGACTGTGGGCTGCATGCGGGTGCCTGCTTTGAAATGTACAAGAGTCCCCTGCAGGAGCAGCATGGAGCTCCGGGTCAGCGAGGGACTCAGAGTCCCCTGCTGACTCTGGGCTCCATGCTGCACTGCAGATCTGAAATGCTGTGCAGAGCCGGGGTCAGCTGGTGACTCCCCAGCTTATCCTGGGCTCCCTGCGGCTTTCCCCCAGAATCAGAGATCAGCTGGGGACTCCCCAATTGATCCTGGATTCTGCAGAATGACCCCGGGCTCCACAGCCGCTGGGGCTCAGCTGTGTGGCACTGCCCTTTGAAGTACCCCCCTCCCCTCTCTTTTGCTGCCTCTATCTGATAGAGGCAGCAAGGGGTAGGGCGAATCGACTAGTCAACTGACTATCTGATAAGCTTTTGCTTGTCGGATAGTTGACTAGTTGACTGGTCCTTAAGACCCCTAGATAATACACGCTTTCAGGCCACCAACCAATAGCTGATGTTCATTGCTCTCCATAAAATGAGGCTGACAATACTTCCATACCTTACCAGGGAGCTTTGAGGCTTTAATTTGTTGATGTTAATAAAGCACTTTGAACACAGGGGCTGTAGAGTATCACTTCAACTTTGTAACAAGAACCCAGCTACAGCTAATCGATCCAATAAGTGACTTCTGGGGCTGTTTGTTTGGGGAGGAGAGTGGGTCCAATGTCCTTCATGTGAGAATCAATAAAGTCCTGTGCCTGTTGCTGAGACTCTGGCCAATAATCAAACCTGGGCAGAAGTAAAGAGGCTCCTAATTTTTCCCCCCCAAACACAGGCTGTGTTAAACATTAACAGAGCCAACTTGCTCAGAAGGCCCTTGCTGCAGAAAGTTGGCCTTTCTCTCACCTCTGGTGCTGTCCTTGTGGATAACAGCATGAGAAGACTGACCAGGAAGAAGG